AGTCTACGTACTGTAATTGAACCCTGGTGCAGGTCGAGTTGGGCAGTAAAGTTGTTTGCAACCGAGTAAAAACAAAATGATGCAAAGTGAGTTGGAGTGAGAATGAGCACTGGATTAGGGTTGTGTAGGGTTGTGCAGGGTGCTGTGGGTGTATACTGTATTATTTGGTGGTGCTGGACAGGGTGAAAAATTGGGCTTCACTGGGTGCAGGTCTGGAGTTGATGGGTAAGAAATGGGTTGAGAGAGGTGGTGGATGGGGTGAGAAATTGGGCTTCACTGGGTGGAAATGGGTGCAGGTCTAGAGTTGGATGGGTTTAAAATGGGTTGTGAGAGGTGGTTGATGGGGTGGGTAGCAGAGTGCAAGACCAGAGGTGCTGGGTTGAAACAGTGAAAGAAAAACTGCAAAGGTTTTCAAAAATCAACGAAAAAATGAAGGGTTAAAACTAAAACAGCTAAAAATGGAGATGACAATTATACAACAAGTGGAGTTACAAAAAAGATTCACAGATATCCACCGTACATATTGAAGTGCAACAGGCCCTAATTATCCCAACTTTGTTTATCACACACTCAAAATAAAAGTATGAAATGACTGGGTTATTTGATAAATATTGCTATTCAAAAGAATAATAAAAATGAGTACAATTAGTCAACACGTAACTTTTGTTGACGGTACGCATGTATGATGAAGAGTATTATAGAAAGAAATGGTAATTGCATCTCTTGAGATTATTCTCTAAGAATATTATTGAAATCAGTTCCATGTTGGTTTTATAAGCTAAATTAAAAAAACAGGTAAATGTAATTCAATTATAGTCATTTTTTGCCCACTCCAAGGAGTATAACTCTTAAAAACGGTTCAAAGGAAAATAACCACCACAAAAATGGAAATTCTGCATTTTGATACCTCATTTACAAATATTTGTAATAACCACTTGTTGTAGTAAAAATAAGTTGTTTGTTTGTGATTTGTTGTCCAAAAAAAACCCTGCTGTAAAAAGAAGAAAAAGTTGTGTTTTTTTTAAAAATGCTTTTCACTTTTTTTACCCTAACTGGAGACTAGAGCTATGAATTTGCACTTCAAATCTTCTAATTTACAAAACATTCCATTTTTCTCAATGATTTGTTTTACTTCTTGTGTTTTTTTTTTATAAATACTACGTCATTATTGTAATTATTTCATTTTCTTTCTGCATATACATAATAACGGCTCTGCGAATAAAAGTAATATACAATATACAAATGAACTTCATAAGTTAACCCTAAAAGCATTAAAAAATAAATGCACTTCCTACAATAGTGAGTTTCGGCTAACAATGAATCGAGTCGACCTTTTTTTGTCATCTGGCTTTAAGGAAAGAACTCAGTTCAGTCCACCAATGACCTTTACATCACTATCTTCACTTCATCAATCTGTCTTACGCTACAAACAACTTCACATAAAGAAGCATTCATTTTATACATATATACACAGCAAGATTAGGAATAAAACAGGACAGATTCCCAGTTTTTGAAAAGAGTATTACACCCTCTATGGGCTCCGTGCGCCAACGAAAGAGGGCGCCCTTTTACCTAGCAACGACGGCCAATGGGCGGGACATTTCGCTGGTTGACGTGCACCGTTCCTTGTGTACGCACGTACATGTACACCAGGGGATTTGTACTATGTGCACGTAGTGGCCACGCGTCGCAGCAAAATTGCAGTCAGGCAAGATGGCGTTGGTCGGTCACCCCCAACTGTACTTTCTTTGTCGGTGAGAAGGTACTTGTGAACGGAGCGGATATGACCATTTTTGGGCTTTTTGTTCACTGGCTTGTTATATGGCACTCCTTTCTGGGCACACTATTTTACTAAAGTAGAGTGTTCATGTGACCAAAAAAAGTGAGACTTCCAAAAATTTGGTTTCAATCAAATTTTTTTCCGTGTTGTATAAAATTGGAAAACGAATCAGAACAAAAGTGCCACAGGGTGTCCGTGTACAGACTCTGGGCATGAACAGTACATGGCACGTTGTGACCACTCTCAAAAACCTCAGCGGGATAGAAACACAATGTGCATGTAGTGGTTTGAGCATGTACTGCACGAAGCATGCACAGCATATTTTACTCTGAACATGCAGAATGCATAGCATCTTCGCGTGAGCGCCAGGCACCGTCGAAATACCGGTAGCGTTTGAATGTCTTTTCAAGTAGTCTCCCCCAATTTCCTAATCCATATCCGTCAACAATAGCATCATGCATCTCACTTGGCATGAACTCAAAAATGACATAATTTCACCCAAACGAGAATTGGTCAAAAGCCTTTGTCATCTAAGTGTAACCGTGGCAACGTGGGACACACACAAAAAAGGATTGGAGCAGTGAGCTTAACACACTATGCTTACAATCCATGTTTTGATATTAACATTATTACATATTCAAAATGTTGTCACGACAACCGCCTAGCAACCCTACTCACATATGTACAAGTGACGCTACTAAAACGGCTATAAAATGATTATAAAAAGGAAACTTACATGAATGTTTATCTATCTTCAATTCTCAACATGTCTTCTTCATCTTTGTACAAATATATAAAAAAGTGATTATTGGTTTATAACTGTGTGAGAAACAAGAGCCTCCTCTCTTTAAGAAAATTCACTAAAAAAAATGTTGATAGAAAAATGATCTGTAAGTCAACGCAAATCCTGCGAGGATAGTGCATAGATCATGTATCTTATCTACATGTGTCTCTTCTACATCTTCCTAGTGATATTAGTGACAGTGTTTATTATACTTTTGATTCAGCTGTTAATTTTGGATCATGACTTAAAGGGGCATTCCGTCCTTGAAAAGCGCCTAATTGGGCTACAAAAATGCATTTTAGTTGAACTTTTAATTGGAAAGAGCAACTATTAAGAGAACTACTAATATAAAAGAAGAATATAAACGTCCACACAACCATCCTTTACGAATGGGCCGTTTTGGTGTTATTGTTGCGAGAACAAATTTCGGGGTCAATATTTTGACTCTCAAAATGAGAAAATGCAATGTTTTCTGTTTAGTGCTCTGAAGATGACAGAAATTTAACAACTTTGCTTTCTTCATTTTCAAATTAGGCAATATAAACATTTGTAGTTGGTGCATACATGTACATAACTGGAAAGTTTATTTTACAAACCTTCAGCTGTTCCCAGTGAAAATTTCTTCTTTTTCCCCCCAAATATATTCCTCATTTTGATAGAGTGAGACACAAAGTGTTCCAGCCGGTTAGTACAGTATGCCACGCAAAGATACAAATGAACTATTTAATAAAAATTAAAAAATGAAAACCAGCCAACGAAATTAAACAATTATGTGAAAAAAAGAGAAAGCAGCAAATAATCAATGTATGAAAAAAATGAAGAAACAAAATATAAAAGATATAAATGATGACAATCAAGTGCCAGATGAAATCCTTTTAGAGGAAAATAATGGGCAAGAAAGTTCAGAAGTCAAAACCACATTTTGGCTGCTTTTGTCAGGCAGATAGTTGTCTCAAGATTATTATTATTTTTTTCTGCAGCAGGTCAGATTTGTGTTGGAAAATGCATAATTATTGGAATCTCAGCTGCCTTCAGTCAATTGTTACAGAAACACACACAAATTATAAATAAAACCCATTGAAACTTTTGTCACTACACAAAATACTGACAACTAACAGTAGCTAAATAGACCAATGCAAGTAACACACACACGCAGTTGCGTATCGACCTCTCATCGTGCACGTCCCATTGTCCCTCATTTCCTTTTTAGGAAGACTCCCATATGTTTTGTACACGACCCCAATCGCGGACGTATGCTGGGAATCGTGGACGATATTGTTCTCTTTTGTTCTCCGTCATTTTTTGAATGCCTTACACGCTTACCAATATGTCAAAACTTCACAAGCAATTTTTTTTTTGGATTTTGTTTTCACTGCCTTCATTCAGCAGCAGCAAAACTACAACTGTCTGACGTAAATCGCAACCTATTACAAGAACTTACATGTAATCGCATAATTCAGTTTATAGTTTACAAAAATGTGCCCGCCGGATTAAAGCCTTTCCCAAGTTTCAGACCGTGTTTTGGTGCTAGCTTTAAAATACAACCCTATCCCAACAGAATTTAACTAACAAAGCTGGTTTGGTGTTACTAGCACATTGGCAATGATCATTCAATGGATATGGATTAAATGATATCGTCTAAGCTTACACCCAAAAGGCCCTTCATTTTTGTTTTTCAAGTACATGTACACTTCATAAGAGAGCAAAGCATCTTTCCTGAAATTTATGTCCTAACTAGTTACAAATTATCCTTTCAATTGTGTTGGGTTTGCTCACATAATAACTGTGTATTTGAAGGATATGGCATGACTAAATTGAATGGACACCTAGGGGGGTGCATTTACGGGTAGTATGGAAACCAGTTACCCGATTGAAAAAAACAACACGGGTACCTGTTAAAGAAACCCGACCCCAAATTTCAAATCTCGGAAGTTGCTGTTCAGATTGTCCATAAAGGTCCGCATGATAATACTACCACATCGGTGCGTCAATACAGCAAGATACAAGTGTGTACAGTGAGCTTTATAGCTTTATGGTGAAAACTGCAAATTCTGCGAGCGTCATAAACGTGAAACCCGTTTTATTTTCCATGTAGCCTGGCTATCATTTTCAAAATTCCCCAGAAATGACATTCAAAACCTTTCTTTATCATTGTCTGAGAAGTTACTGAGGAATTTGAAAAGTTGGTTACGGGTACCCGATCCCATAATCTGGAACCGGTTCCTGACATTAGTGGTCGGGTACCGGTACCCGGTTCCGATGCACAGCCCTATGGAAACCATCATTTTACAGAATTACAATAAGTTCTACATGTGGGCAATTCCACGGTTTCTCACGCTACGAAAATGTAACGTGAGTAACCAATTTTGTGCGTCTTGTTTACCATAATTACACATTTTTCTGGATGTCATCTTTGGTGCTTAGGTAGGTCTAAGTCTAGTCTATCTACCATGGGGATAACAGTTATTAAACCTTTTCAGTAAGGTAATTACAGCCCAAGGAAACTCAAAAGTACATCAAAAATGTTACGTGAGTAACCGTGGAACTGCCCGTATACACGTGTGATCGCCGCAGCATGAAGCAACCTTTGAATAACTGTTTTAGAAATCATTCCAATCTGGAATGACATTGAAGGTTGTCGACATTTCGTAACTACATGAAAACATGAAACCGCATTCGTTATTTCAAACCAGAGATTTCGACAAAGCCACACCAAAAACTGCAATTGAAGAAAACATGACGAAACGTTCAACACTTCGTAAAATTTTGAAAAATTGATCGCAGGATGCATCACAAGTTGCAACATGTTACGTGTCGCAACTTGCGTTACGAAGCATTGAAGCGTTTCATGAAATCAAGTGCTGCTCTAGTCAATGACGACTTTACATGTACATCACAAAATTCAGAAAATGACATGTACATATGGTTGGAAAGCCCATGATATTTGGCAAATATCATTTGTTGAATGTGAACTGATGTAATATGCATACTAATAATTTTAAGGAACCTCACGACATTAAAGTGTTGATTTTATTCCAATTTATACGGGAAAAAAAATGTCATTAGCGTGTCAACATATATCCTGAATTTGCGAAAGTTGTCTTTAAAGATCTTTAGTCTCTACGCTGAAGGCCCCATTACACATGAATCAATAGGTCTACTTCTAATCACCTTTTATGAGAACAGGTCATGTAATGTTTTTGTTAAAGGGGTAATAACTTGTTACAGGTAGATAAATACAAAAGTAGGCTACATTAAACCTTTACTTACTTTGTTATATGTAAGTTGTTTGAGTCTTGAAATATGGCACTCCGTTGACAGGGCTGTGTAGGTTTTTTGGTCGGACCGCTGGACCATCGACTTTCCCTTGTGTGGTGAACATGCTGCCACCGTAGGTTTCTCTGTCGGGAGTGGTACGCCGGACTCGATAGGGTGAGCCTTCGCCGTCAAAATGATGTAGCTCACTCACAGGTAGGGTCCGGGGTGGAGGGGGCGGGGGCTGATGTGTGGAGTGGGGGGCGTAGGAGGGGCCACCATAAGGGGAGTATTTCACTGGGGATGGTTGGGGGGAATGAGTCTCTCTGTATGGAGAGCCGGTTCTACCAGCAGTCGTGCGAACGGGTGAGTTGCTGGCAATCATACGGGTTGGAGAGCGACTCTCTCCTTGAGTTGACGACGTACTAGCGACGTGAGCAGGGTCTCCCCTGCTCGCTCCGTTACTCCGAGCAACCCGGGCTGGGGAATTTCCTGCCACAGGTGTGTACATTAATGTCTCGTGCTCCCCTAATGTAAACGGCTCTTGGTCGGTTGGGGTGTTCAATCGTTCTAACGATTCCTCCATATCAACCTCGTAGGTATCGTTATAATACACATCAATGTTGTCGTAGAGGGATGACCGACGCTCCATGGGGTCCGACATGGTCGGGCTTGACGGGGGGAGACTCTGAGGCCGGTCAGCCGGCGGTGAGCTCAGGCTTGCCTGCAGGGTTCGCTTGTCTGATCGGCCGCCGCCGTCCAGGACCCTCAGCCGGGCCTCGTACTCCAAGAAGTCCTTCTGCGTGGGTGTGTGGTCCTCTTCGTCGTCGGTCCTGGGGGGCGAGCGGGGCTGGCGGAGCCCCTGCATGGGGTCGGCCATCAGGGCCCCGGCCACCTGGTTGGAGAACTGGCTCTCGAAGGAGGTGACGCTGCTGTAGTAGTTGTCCTCCGACTTGTTGCGCTTCTCCGGCGAGGTCTGGCGGGAGGTGGAATTGGACACGGACAGGGTGGTGCTGGGTGAGGCGGTTGGTGTTTGGGACGTGCTGGATGAGGAGGCCACCTGTGATTTGGTAAGGTTTGAAGGAAGGGTGTTGGGATTGAAGTCAGACCAGGGCGGAGGGACAACAATGATAGCGGAAAGAGACGGGGGAAGGAGAGGGTGTGAGAGAACAAAGCCAATGTTAATGACCTGGCAATGCACCAAATGAGAAGCGAGTGTTAGTGAGTAAAGCAAGTGATCAGATTGTACATTTTGTTCCAACAGGATAAAAAAAAAACTTTAAAAGTCAGTTAACAAGACACATACGACATTATTCATTGGTGAGATTCTCAGCAAATTATGCAACGGAAACCCGGGCAAAGCAAGTTGCACACGCAAGCTATATTAAGAGCATATCTCTGAAAAGGGTGCTCCTACGGAATCTGTAACTGAGATTTTGGGAAATGGCCGTCTTTTCTTCTCGTCCCCAACCACACACACAAAAACACACAAGATTAGAGTCAAAAGCAAAAACAACTGAATATCAGAACAGAAAAAGCAAATGCTGTCAAGCTATTGAGAGAGAATTGTGGTTTAAGGAGATAAATCGGTACAGCTGCGCCACAAATTGGTTTTGAAAACCACCAACACTACGGGGTACGTGAAATGACTTGTATGTTGGCATGAGATGAGGTTGGGCGCATGTACCAAATGGGTCAAATGAGAGATGTGAAATGATGGACTGGGTGAAAAATATGAAGCAAAGTTACAAACATATGATGATAAGACGTGCGGCTGTCTTCCAAGACATTGTTATTGCTACCAAGGAAAACTTATTTTGCTAATGTTGCCTGCTTTGTGCCAATGTATAAGCTCAAAGTTGAAAAAACTGATATATTAACTTGATTTGTCATTTTCCAAATAAAAAATGAATAGAGGGAGTATTTCAGGGGAAAAATAAAATCTTTACCATGGCAACAGAAAAAAAATGGATCTGAATGAGCAGGATTAAAAAAAAAAAAAAAAATCACACTACGAATCAAATGCTTTGGTTAGAAAATGATCTGCAAATGGCCATATACCACTGCTATATACTCAAACAGGAGGTTCATGTAAAGGTACAACAAAATCCAACAAAAACTCACGTGCACAATAACGGAAAAAGGCAAAGAAAAACAAATAAAATCAACAACAAAACAAATTAGCACAAGTACAAACAAAACCACTTCAGACTATGACATACATTTCTATTTTAATGCTAACAATAATGCTCTAAGAATACTCCCCTTGCAAAAACATTGGATAAACAATTCCTTTAACATGTTTAATAGAGAATTTCAAATCAGCTTTTCTAATCACCTCTCCTTTGCTAAAAATAAAAAGACTACTTTATCTTTTCAAAAATGAAGCTGGCGTAATTTCGATTTATTTACAAGCATGTGTGACAACTGAATGTGTGGTGGCCAGCACCAACATTTACAATTATCCCGAGCTGGACCTTGCAGTAAAATCGTTCTTACTAGCCTGCTGGGCTACATGTAGTTTACTGATTGTCTTCAAAACCCGCATAAACTGTAACTAAACCATTCTTTTAAAAATATACGTACAGACACTATTTTCAAGGTAAATCAGATCAAAGTAGGAAAATGGCCGAATATGTTTCTCAATGTAGCCCACTGGTAAAATTAACTTTTAACAGTCTACAACGTGCCACACACAAGGGCGGATCCAGGGGACAAAGGCCCCCCCCCCAAAAAAAAAACCAACCAAGTAACCAATTTTTTTGTTTTAATAAAGTGAACTTGCTATAAAGGCAGGCACTGCATACACCACCATCTTTTCCTCAAAAAAATATTGGTTAAAGCGGTCCGAAATCCCCTCGGATCGCACCACAGAGCATCTAGATTCCAACAATTTCGGGCCCCGAACCCCACGCCGTAACTTTTTGGACCCACTTTCTGGGGGACCAAACAAATTTTTGAACCTCCCCCCCCCCCCCCCCCCAAAAAAAATAATTGTGTTCTGGATCCACCCTTGGCCAGGCGTGAGCTAAAAACATGCCAAAGCAACTGTCAAAGTTTACAGGGTGTTTTGGGGGTGGTTTTTTTTTGGCCCATTTGGAAATCAATCGCGACAAAAGTTTATAATTTCTATGTACAATATCAGGACATTCTATATTCTGTATATCCTCATTTCTTTATCACTGTCTACATTTACCCACTAAAATATACCTCCTAGTGCTGAAGACTGCACAACAGCAGTCATAAGCCAAAATTGACGTGCGTACAGTACATGTCCAACTGCAGATACGCCAAACATGTCATATTCTTCAGACGTCTGGTAAATTATCATTAAAATGCAGATTTTGTCATTGTCTGTGACATTTTTGTACAAGTTATCAAAAACCAGGTTAACAACGACTGGAAAAATAGACACATAAATAGCGCCCCCTTCTGTCGTGCGTGGTTTACGTGTTATACTGTGTATTATTAGAAACTGCAATCATCCAATGTGCAAACTAAATTATGGCAACCAGTGCATGCTAGGCTCCCATGTGTTGTTAGTATTCTACTGAAACCAAGTTATTTATAGCATGTTTTACGTTTGAATGGATGTTCATCCTTGTTGACCAGAGAAACGAAGAAGGATCTTTTTCTCCCATTTTAAAATAATTTACACAAAATATCTAACTTTATATTTAAAGTATCATACTAGCTGTAAATTGTGTTCCATGGATAAATACAAAATTGTGTACATATACAAAAATATGATTTAACAGGGTTCGACCTTAACTTTTTTTGTTCACTAGCCAGCCGGGCTACTGAAACGGACTCTTAACTAGCCCGCGGGCATTTTCACTAGCCCGCTTTTTTTTCTTCTAATCTCAAATACACAATGGCGTACTTTCAGGCTCAATTCTGAGGCAATTTTGTCAGTGTTTTTGATTAACAGATCTAATAATTTAACCCTTTAAAACAGTGAAAAAAATTGGACACAAATTGATGGGGTTTTCTTTCTGAATGTAATGATTTTTTTTTTTCTGTGCGTTCATCTTTGCCGCATCCCAATAATTGTTCACTCGCCAGCCAGCCGGGCTAGTTAAGGAATAGTTGGACTAGCCCGCCGCTGTTTCGACTAGCATTTGGCTAGCGGGCTACCGCTAATTTCGAACCCTGTTTTAAGCATTTATATTTTTACTAAGAACAAAATCATTCAAAACTTCATTGATTCTTCTACCAAAACCATTCAGTTAATAATGTCTTTGGATAAAAATTCTTCATGACTACCGGTATGCCTTTGTTAATTTATAAAGATGCTGTTATTTTTTATATCAAACATAATTTTGAGTATTTAAAATGTAAAAAGTAAAACACTAAGTACTCGTACCTGCGGTTCGAGGTAGAAAATTAAAAAACTTAAAATGGCACCTTCCTTCAAGCACAACGTGCAAAAGACTCCGATCCGTTTATCATGCACCGTTAGTAAATGATCACAATTAGTAATTAATGCACACTTTGGCCACAGACGAAGTTCGGCATTCTTCGTGGATAAAAAAAATAAACCGATTTGAAATTAAGTCCGTCGTGACAACCAAAAGGATCTCTTATGGAGGGAGAAAAAAATATTCAAAAACTTACATGAAAGCGATATTTAAGGTATATGTCATGAATCATGCGTTGCCATGCCAACTAGAGAGGACGTACTACTCGCAGACGGCTTGAAACAACAAGAGTAACAGGAAAGACGGATTACGGAAAATGTTGCCCAGATTTTTTTTTTTTTTTAAAGAAATGGTGTACAGATCTGCTTTCAAAACCTGCCGGAAATTATGATAGGGCCTGGAAAATGTGACTTTTTTTGGGGGGGGGAGCTGGTGCAGACGACATAATTTGCTTGATGCATTATGAAGTGGGTGCATGAAGGAACCAGTTTTTTACTTCAACAGAGTACCAGGGAACTGCAACGATTTTCCCTGAAAGAAATTGCTGATAGCTTGTCTACTTTTGGAGAAAAGTGCAGGAGGTTTCACACGAATGGACACTTATGATAACAATGATAGTGAAAATTGGGAAAAATAATGATTTGGAATTTTTTTTTGCCTAAATTGGTTCTGTAACAACCTAGGCACCAACATATAGTTCAAGAAATGCAAGAAGTTGTTTTTTTTCAGTTGACCGAAAAGGGACATACGAATGAAACAAATATGAAACCGTCTCAGCTGATGATTGGGTCCAAACACAACAAATAGTGCAAAACAAGATGGAAAACTCTGGAACTGAAAACTCTGTAAAAAAAGGTTTGGCTATTTTCTTATCATCTGGTGGAGAATTAGAGAGTTCTTGTAAAGGGAATCGTGGGCTTAGTCACTGGTGATTTTGATTTCAATAAATAGTAATATATACAAATGACAGGCTACCGTAGTTTGCGGTAGCTACCGGTACCTAAATGGCGTGGGTTGCATTTATATTTGCTGGCAGCTAAATATACTGTAGATGTGTACCTCTGCAGTGACTTTTCCCCTCCAGTTTTTGTGAATATGCCAGATTGTCGTGAGGGTTTGTGGTTCAAATAATTTATTTTTTAAACAGAAAGTGACGACAGAAATGTCTATTTAAAAAAATAGCATACATGTAAGTACATAAATTCTGTATTTTGAAGGAAAAATTTTGGCACAATTTTTGAAAAATTAATCACAAATCTTTGACTTACTTTGTAAAACTCAATATTTTTTAATAAATATGGCCTGCCACGAACGATTTCAATAAATGAAATGAGAAAAACAGTAAGTACTTGAAATCTGTATTTTGAAGGAAAAATTTTGGCACAATTTTTGAAAGGTAATCACGAATCTTTGACTTACTCTGTAAAACTCAATATTTCTTGTAATAAATATGGCCTGCCAGCAAGGATTTCACTGAATGAAATGAGGATAACGCATATATATGAACATCACTGCATTGTCACAATTTGTATAGAAAAAAAAATAATCGTGCCAAATGCAAAAAAAACCAAACCACACAGCATGCGCAACTTTTGGCATGTTTTTGGATTATATTTCAAGGTCTTCACACGACGGCGACTGTCTAACTATCGTTTTGGCGCCCTCCTCCTCCTGTTTACCTGTTTGCCGCGGCCGTTGCTCAGATGCTGCATGGGGGAGCGCAGCCCCGTCGCCTGGCTGATGCTGGGGGTCCTGGACAAGCCAAACGGAACCTGGGGCAGTTCTGCGGTCTTGCCGATTGGGGGCGCAATCATCTTGGCTCGTCTTAATTCTGGAAGAGAAGATTTAAAGAACAAAACGTTTAGAAAAATCATACATGTGAATGGATCTAGCAAACGAGTCTTAACCAGTTTGCACCGGGATTATTTTGACACGGCGCCGGATTGTTTTTACAAACCTCGATGCCAGACGGGTTCAGGCCGTCATCTGTGGGTAGCACACCCTGATATTATCAGCCACGCTCGCTGCGAGCGGGTCGCAGACAGATATTTCTGGCCTCGCTTGTTGCGCGTTTATCGGTCATGAATACCGCAAAACGTTTGCGTGTATACACGTCATCCGACATAAACTCATTAACACTGACCCCAGCCATACACACTAAAGTGAATCAGCTGTTAGTGTCTGTGGCACCTTGCTGCATTGAGCCATCAACAATAGTGCATCAACTGCAAATTCTCAGACAATGGGAGCTTGTCCCATTAGCCACTTTGCGACGGGATTATTTTTGCCGAAAATTTCGATTTTTGCTAAAGGCAAAATTTTCTGGCCAACTTCTGATATACAGCCAAACGCCACAAATACTGATTCGCAAGAGTCATTTCTACAGTATTTGTACGATATTTCTTGCCGAAACCTCACATATTGGAATCTCCTATGGGCTCCGTGCACAAGTACCCCTTCAACGGCCAGAAAAGGAGAGTTGGGGGTGACCTAGACTGGTTCCCGATCCATCCACTGCATATTTCGAACGATCCAAAGTTATTGGGGGTGGGGATTAGTCTGGGAGACCATCAAGTTAAATTTAAACGTACGTGTATTTGCGCGCCCACGACGCCTGACGCTCACGCGAAGACGCTGTGGCTAATAGTTTTGGCACATTCAGGAAGTTGTGCGTACTTTGCGCCCTCTTTGGTTGGCCCACAGAGCCCATAGTGAAGTCTTGATTTATCAAGTGGAATTACCTGCCATAGCTTCCTGTAGCGATTCTATGACCTCATCATCCTTGTAGCCGAAGTTGTCCACGAGTTGCTCCTGGAGGTATCTGACGACCGTCTCCATGTCTTTCTTCAGCATCATCCCTGCATCACAACCAGTTAAAATAAGAAAAGTCTATTCTGCTACCCATACCTCCGACGATAAATCTCACAAATGGATGCTTTACATGTCCAGGGGAAAAAATCTTTAGGAAAAAAACAACAGTTTTAATTTTAGTATGATGTTAGTGATCAGGTTAACATTGCTGACATAAGGAATACACAGCATGGTCTGTCACAAAGCGAATACAGAGTGAGTAAAAAAAAACGAAACCAAAATGTCGGGACCATTGTTTTAGTGAAGTTCTGCATGTAGCACTTTCAAAATCTAGGATATGAAAGCCCAATTCATAAGCTTTCTTTCAGTACAAGAATCATTCACATCACTCATGTACTTTTCAAGTTACGGAGTTTTAAACACAACCGCCATTTTAAAGTTCTGTCCACGGATCACATGACGTCACACGCCATTTTAGGAGATACAACTTTGTTGCAAGGACACGACGATGTTGCAATGATTTCTAGATGATTATACAAATTAATGCATGCATTAATGAGATGCATGCATTAATGACGACCCTCAGACCGATCTTAAGTTAAGACGGTTTCAGCCATGTTGCTAAGAAAGTTAGGACGTGTTGAACGTGTCTTAAGTTTGGTGAAATCGATCCAAGGACGAGTCGTGAGTTAAGACGAGTTACCCTCCCTAAGAGGCATCTTAGAGTTTTGTAAAATCGGCCCCAGGTACTTACGTCTGTGCATCTTCATGAGGTTGAAGGACATGGCCACCAGGATCTTGTCTCCTTCCAGCATGTAGATGTCCCAGAGACGCAACGTTAACGTGAAGGGGACGCGGTCTAAGAAGCACTGGAAGAACCACTTCATGGAGTACAGGCTGGTGTGGATCTCCAACTTGTCCTGAAGGAGACAGGAGAAATATGAGGGCTGGTACAGGTTCCTTAAAGCTACAGCCCATCATTTGCAGCCATCCGAAAAAGTAACTGGCGTATTATTGTTGAAAAACATACTTGGTTGAAAGATAGTAAGTGGACTAAACTCCCTGTGAAATTATTCTTTCTGGCAAGCTATCATTTGAAGTAATCAACGAAAGAAGGCCTTTCCAACGGTGCGTCTTAAGACGCACCGTGGGAAAATTTAAATTAGTAGTTCGTTTTGTTATTCGGCGCAGCGCGCGCAAGCATTGGCACGACGCACAGGCGCGCGGTTGCTATAATTTGTCGGATCAGTGCGTGACATCGCATATAGCTGCAATTCAAAACAATTCAAAACATGATTCAGCAACTTTTGATTTGAAATTGAGATCCTAGAATGCTGTTTTTCTCGGAATATACAGCTGAAGCTGAGCTGAAACTTCATCAGGTTAGTTGTTCAGTATCCTTCATTAGATTTTGAACACTTTTGTTGCTTCAAACGAACAAAATGCACAAATTACAAATGACGGACTATATCTTTAACCAGTTCACGTCGGATGACGTGTACACAAAATTTTGCGGTATTCGGAATGGATGACAGATAAACACGCAATGAATGAGGCCAGAAATATCTGTCTGTGACCCACTCGCAGCAAGCGTGGCTGGTAATATCAGGGTGTGCTACCCGCAGATGACAGCCTGAACCCATCTGGCATCAAGGTTCATGAAAACAATCCTGCGCCTGGCTTCGGTCATGTCAAAATAATCACGGTGCGAACTGGTTAAGACTCATTTTGCTAGATCCAATCACATGTATTTAGGATCCATCCTCAATCCTTCAAAATCCTCCAATTGCCACCATGTAAAAAAAAAAATTGATACAGACTCATAAAGTCCTCCACAGTCATCTATTATTTCTTGCAGTTGTTCAGTGAAGGGGTGACCACTGCCTCAATCCTCAAAATCCTCAAACAATCATTGTCATAATACAATAAGAAATTGCCAATGATACCCAGAAGCAGTGTGGATGATGTCTAGCATACATTTGTAATTTTTGCATGGCTGAGCATACACAACATAAGGTGCAGCTTAAGGCCTTGACACAATACAGTTAGTCAGAATCAATGTCAAAATCTGGGGCCAAATTTTCAAAAGTGTTCACAATTATTTTGAAGATTTCCTAAAAATCTTAAAACCCCCCCAAAAAAATTGCCAGCACTCTAAAAAACAATATCAGCCTTGACAATTTTTTTTGCCCAAACCCAATCTGCCATGTAGATAATTATTTGACCAAAAAATAGATGATATGGTTTGAATGTACAATAAGCCTTAGAAGACTGAAAAGGGATTGATACGGTCAAGATGTCAGAATACTTACAAAGTTCTTCTTGACTTTCGGGAGGAACTTCTTCAAGATGCGCTCGTGGTGGTCCTGGTACCTTATCAGCTTGGGAAAACCAGGAATAAAGAAGCCTAAAACAAACAGGAGAAAATAACATCAAGTTAGAAGTTAACTTTGGTTAATGGAGGGGGTACGGTACCTTACACTCTTTCTAAATCTCCCCCATCTTCCAAAATGCCACCAGAGTACTAAAAGATTTTATTTTTGGAACTTCACAGGTATTCAAAGCATTATTTGTTTATTGCAATTTTGCACTTTGTCAATGCAAGTAATAACCCTAAGACTATCTGAAAAATACAAAAAAGGTTCAACCAATGGACGATGTGAGCCTTATGAACGTTTGAACAAAGAAGATTTCCTGTTGGTTGATTTTGGAACATTGAGGAAGTAGGGATCTATTGGAGGATTGAGGAATCTTAGCCTGCATCAGAATGTCTTGTCTACAGAGTTATTGTCTAGGTCGGTCAGAGATGAAACTGGCCTATGGGAAAAATAATCAGAAAATAGGCCGAACAAAAATGCCTGTCCGAAATCAGGGCCGCGCCGCAGTTACATGTGACGTGTACATGTACACGTAGGTATGTACTAGTACACACTTCAAGCCCTATTTCATCAAATTCGTTGAAATATAATTTTAAAAATCAGACTTTGCAGGGAAAAGATCGTCAGAATAATCAGAATTTTGTAAATACATTTGAACAAGTCGGATTTTCGATTATAGAGTCAGAAAACTTTCATCTCTGGTCATTACAGCTACGTGGGAAAAAAACTGACAAAACACGTAGCATAGCTCTGGATGCCCATTTTAGACACTGCCGAACTTGCAAAAAAAATGTCCATGGCATCCTGGTTAATGTACTTACCATGCATAGCATGCTTGGTGTCCGTCAGTAGGGCATGAAGGGCCCAGAATGCATCTTCCTCGTTCAGGTACATTAAGAGCAGAGCAGCGATTTGGCTCATGCCTTGACAGTACCCCACCTCCTGCAACAGACAAACCCAACCCCAAAAAAGAAGAAATATGTTAAAAAAGTAGAGACAGAGAGACAGACAAACAGACCGGCACAGTTAACCCTCCTATGCAAACATACATTCTGAGCAAAGTTGTCCTTTCAGTCAAAATCAATCAAGTGACTATTTTCAACAGTTAAGAGCTCCCAGCCTACAGAAAGCAGGATTGACTGGCTGTGACTGTTTATGTAACTTGATGCAGTGATGCTTTGACTGTTGGTGATTGATAAGCCAGTTGTGCCTACCAGTTACTTCTTTTGTCTGTTGACTGAATTTGACTAGTCACAGTGCTTGCTTGCAATATGATCTGACTGTTGGTGACAGGCCTGTGTAAAAGGCATGGCAGGGGAAGAGGATTGATTCTTGGACTGTCTGTGACTGTTCAGAGAGCAGGAGGGTTAATGGGAATAGTGAAGTTAGATTAAATCATGGTAAGGAAGTGTAACTGAGGATGGAACCATCTTTATATCCTATCATTACCAATGAATTTATTCACCAAAATTGTGACAAAAATCATGACAGGCTTGCCCAGGTGATACTGCCGATTATATCAGAATGCAGAAGATATAAGTGATAAAATTGTGAAACCTTCCATACTGTGAAAATGTTGGATTTTGAGGGAAAAAAAGGCTTTTTAAGTTGGTATTTCTATAGACCATTCACTGTAAGTGCTATCACTGTACACTCATGAAGGCCCTCTTCAATGGCAAAAGCACTGCACCAGTATTGGACAAAGCAACTACCCCTCGAACAAATGACTTCGTTTTGGTATTGGGGGAAAGTTTACGATTGGTTGAACTCTCTTTTTGAGAATGAGAACTCAAAGGGTATCAATTGGGTCTTCGGTGTTCCACAAGGGTCCGTACTCGAACCCGTTTTGTTCTCCTTGTCGATCCACTCGAGGACATTATCACCCGTCAATGTCATGGTCTAAACTCTGTTCATTATGCAGATGACTGTCAGATACATTTCTTGTGGCTCCCGTGTTGACTATTCATATGTAACTCACATTGACTGCTGTCCATACGAGATTCGTTGCTGGATGCGAACAAATATGCTAACATTGAACGACAGTAAGACTGAGATCTTATGGTTCACGCTTCAGAAATTCAAGTCTCCAAACTGTTGGGACTGAAGTGCGGGTTGGGGATGTCTGTACTATGGCCTCTGCCACAGTACAAGATCTTGGGGTGATGTTGGACTCAGCTGGAACCTTGGATGCTCGCATTTCTAGTGTTTGTAAGGTGGCGTCTCACTCACTGTGGCGGATTGGTAAACTTAGGAATCTTTTGGATCAAGTACATACTGAGAAACTAATACATGCATTGGTTACTCCCCGGTTGGATTATTGTAACAGTTTATTTTCTGGTTTATACGATTATCAGTTCAAGAAACTACAACGTATTCAGAATGCTGCTGCACGACTGGTAAAAGGGGAAATCTGGATCGTCACGTAGACATGACACCCATACTTCAGGAACTACATTGGCTTCCGCTGCAGGTTGAATCCGAGACCCTTTGTATTATTTTTAAACTTATATATGGTGAGTCAGCGGCATAGTACCGCACAGAGTTGATATCCGATCATGTGTCCAACATTCACACTATATAGCCATAGAGCTATATTAAATTACTAGAGCACTAACTTCGTGTACAAAGTAATGCCTGCTGGGCGCATCCATGTTTGTGCACAAACCTATGGAGACCTAGAAATTTTGTACGGCTATTTGCATTTCTGTGTTTGTATTCCATACCGGTGCGTTACCGAAGCCAATACGTCCAAAACTGAAACGCACGATCAGCAAATGAGCGTGTCATTTTGCTCTACACAAACAGCGCAACCAGTGCGCGTCCCTCCGCTGCAGATGCTTTTTGCCGTGACGCTTTTTGAACCGCCATGACGCGCTTAAGTTGTTTGCGTATCTTCTACTTGCGCGTTGCATGTAGAGTACACTTTTAAAATTCAATCCTTCTATTTTGATTGTGTTCTACAAACACGCACATGAATTCAAAATGTCTGCGCCCAGAGCGGCTTCAAAGCGTCTCCGCGCGCAGAATGAGGAGTTAGCACTCTAGTAATTTAATATAGCTCTATGGGTTAAGCTCAACCATGGTAAAGTTCATCCAAAGCCTAGCAAGACATACGGTGATCGTGCTTTTGCCATCTATGCACCGACTCGGTGGAACAGACTTCCAGCTTATTTAAGAAACATTACTGAAGTGGGAATTTTTAAATCACAGCTTAAGACTTTCTTTTTAAAAGGTATTTTATTTAACTACTTTTTAATTAACTGGTTTACTTTTTATGTGGCATTTATGTTTTGTAAAGCATTAGCTGGTTTATTTTTTATGTGGCATTTAAGTTTTGTAAAGCGTTTTGAGATTTCAAGGTAAAACGCTATATCACGAATAAAATATCATTAATTATTATCGTAAATTGTACAGTAAGGGAGACACCTTAGCGTCAGAAGCTACATGTATACCTTTAGAAGACATGTGGAATTAGGGAGACATTTCAATGTCTCCCTAATGCCTCAGCTCCTATTTAGATGCAAAATTTTACCATCGCAAATAGGCTAGATCGATTGCTCGTGGTCCAAGTGGTAAAAATACTAAAATTTGTGGGGGTAGGATAAGGTTAAATTGGGGTTAGGGGTAAGGAAAGTAAGAAAAATTGTGAGCACAAGTCTATAGGAATGTCTCCCTAATTGTATATTTTTTTGGTTATAATAATATTATTATTAATATCTTAACAAAAACTGTTGCCATTGAAGGGGGGCCTCAGGGAGTGTTACAGTGATGGCATGCTGGGAACGGTCTGTATGAGAGAAATAACACATCTAATCTTTGGCAGCTCACAAGTGTGGATGCAGAAGCTGTTGAGAATAATGAAACTACTTCTGAAAAGAGCTGACTTTCTGCCTCACAGTTTAAAGATATAGTCCATCATTTGTAATTGGCATTTTGTTCGTTTGAAGCAACAAAAGTGTTCACAATCTAATGAAGGACACTGAACAACTAACCTGATGAACTTTCAGCTCAGCTTCAGCTGTATATTCCGAGAAAAACAGCATTCGAGGATCTCAATTTCAAATCAAAAGTTGCTGAATCATGTTTTGAATTGTTTTGAATTGCAGCTATACGCGATGTCGCGCACTGATCCGACGGACGAATTATAGCAACCGCACACGCCTGTGCGTCGTGCCAATGCTTGCGCGCGCTGCGCGGAATAACAAAACGAACTACTAATTTAAATTTTCCTACGGTGCGTCTTAAGATGCACCGTTAAAAAGGCCTTCTTTCGTTGATTACTTCAAAGTGATAGCTTGCCAGAAAGAATAATTTCACAGGGAGTTTAGTCCACTTACTATCTTTCAACCAAGTATGTTTTTCAACAATAATACGCCAGTTACTTTTTCGGATGGCTGCAAATGATGGACTATAGCTTTACCCAATTTCCAAAATTCTAATTTTATTCCCAATATGATTTACTGTAGTTCAAGCAACCTATCAACAGATTCCTTCAGCCACCATGTTTGCTTATACTTTCTTTTCTTTTTTCTAAAAGTAGCTTGTAGTTGTTGAATTCCATTTTAAAAAAATTGACAGACTACATCAAAAATAACTGAATAGCGAGGTGTCTTACCGTATTATACATGGAGTAGGCAGCGAGTATATGGAATAACGCCTGCTGTTTGGTGCCATACCGGTCACGGAACATTATATGGTTCCGGAATGTTCTGTTCACGTCCAGATCAATCTGCCGGATGTCCGGCGAAAGCTTGCGCGCTCGTATCCGCATCCTCTGTGGAATACGTAACAAAATTGGGTCAGAAATCACAGGCAATTGACATAATTTCCTTCAAACAACTTTTCTTTTTTATCCCTGGTTGGGATTTCACTGTTGTAACACTTTCTGTCACACTTTGTGTTATGTTTGAACATACAGGGTGAGTAAAAAAAAAATGCAATAAGGCCAAAAAAAATAAGTCTCCGGTTTCTGGTATGGAGCTTGCCCAAAAAGTGGTGCGGCGACGCGGCTTTTTTTTTTTTTACCCGATTTTTTTGCTTCAAATGTCGGCTGATGACTGCAAATGGTGCCCGACTAAACTTTAGCACAATTATATGGGAGTCCAGAGAGGCCACATAAAGCTTATTCTCGATCGTCACCCCATCTAAAAACACGTTAAAATCGTGCAGCAGCAGAATTCCAGTCAAATCAGTGAGTTTGGCGGTTTTGAGACATCATCTATCATTGAAAAAAAAAAACTTTTTCATTTTGCCGACGCGCATGGCTACGGCGACGCGCGCGCATACCAGAAACCGGAGATTTTTTTTATTTGGCCTAATGCAAGGGAGCCATTTTTTTTTTCTAAACCAAGTTGAAGTTTTGAACTTTGTAAACTTGTAAGAATGACATATTTGATAGTAACCTTGTGTGTACAAATGAAGTTAATCGCATTTACCGTTTGTCTTTTGTGAACCTTTTCATTGCGGTACCTGATTTACATTTTTGTCCACGAGGCATCAGAATTTTGCTTAAGAGCAGAAATGGTACAATAAAGACATTGAAACACAGATTTAAAACTGACTGAACCTTAGCTCAAGCTTTATTTTTTGGTTTTAATTCTTTATGTTTATGCAAAGTTTCTCTGGGCTATAGTATAGTTACTGTGTCCTTCATTGTTCACATAATTGGCGCTCTGCCCTCTACTTGGCAACCCTGCAAGGCAATGCATGTCTCAGCTCTAGACCTCATGGAAAGAACGGCTCTGGGGGACACCTTTGTGCTCTTATGCAATTTTTAGATGCGTCGTGGATAAAAACATATATCTGGTACTGCAGTAAAAAGGTTCACAAAAGACAAACGGTAAATGCGATTAACTTCATTTTTTTCACACAAGGCTACTACCAAATATGTCATTCTTACAAGGTTTTGAAAATTCAACATTTCAACCTGGTTTTGAAATAAAGACGACTCCTTTGCATAATTGCAGTTTTTTTTACTCACCCTGAATTCTTCAGAAAAACAAGAGGCTGTGTACAAGCATAATAGTCCCCCCCAGACTTTGTATGTTTTGGGGGCTTTGAAAAGTGCAGTAACTTGCACTTAAAGGGAAGATACAACATTTGCAAACATAACAAAACGAAATGATCGAATTATCACGAAATACCTTACTGGATTGATAGGGAATGACAGTCTAAAACATTCTGTAAAATCGTGGCTCCTGGTTTGCTGTAATTTTCAAGAAAAACAGGATTTTTCCAATGCTGGTCGGCCGACCAGCGTTGGAGAAAACTGGCTTTTTTTCAAAAAGTGCTCCTAATTTTTCATAATTAGTTATTCCGCGTTTTCTTTGCAATTGATTACACACCTGTAAAGGGGTTCAAACCTGCTAGACTGATTTTCTTACCTTACAATTCCGCAAAGTTTATAAATTGCTCTGTTTCATCTTAAGTGGGTCAGGGAACCAGACTACAAGAACATGATTGGTTTTCTTGGTTTTTCCAGCATCTACAAGCCCAAATCGTGAAACAAGTCATTTTAACAATATTTGCTATAACATACTAATCCTCCAAATCCATTTATTTCTGAAAATTGCAGCAAAAGCAAATGTTGTACATTCCCTTTAACAACTCTCCCTTGTGTGCCGTGGCCTCGTGGTCTGGAGCATTGAGCTCCTGGTCTGCGAGTAAATCTGTAGGTTGTGGGTTCGAGTCCAGCCCGGGGTTGTGGTGCGTGTGCCCTTGGGCAAGGCACTTTATCACTCATTGCTCCACCCCACCCAGGTTAGGTAATAAACACCGCCAGGATCCAAGAAATGCCTTCTTACCTCGTACACATTTGGCTGTTCGGCTTTGACTTTGTTCAGGTCTAGTAGAAGGGCCCAGACGACGCCCCTCAGTCTGTCAGGGATCCCCTTGTAGACACGCCTTGACAGCTGAAAACGGCAAACAAAATAACAGGGGGGAAATGTATAAGCACTGGAATTACAGTCCAACGGTATCACATATGTGTTGTTCCAATCTCTGACCTTAATCCGATCGTCCTAATTACCCACAGCACTTTTTTACTCAACCCCAATTTTGGACATTTCTCAAAACTCGGTTTCAACTGCGACTTTTACCTCAGGCTCCAGATTAACCCTCCTAAGATGAAGTCAATATTCAGAGCAATATGCGAAACCCTTTAAAAGCCTGTACATGTAGGTCAGTTTCAGGTGAAGGGATAGACCAGTAAGTAACGGTGTCACACAGAGAGTCACTGCACACACAGAAAACATAGCATGGTGGATGGCAGTACAGCGTGGCCCAGTCTGCCTGCTTGCCCTGAGCTTAACCACACAAAAGAATTGTGGAAGGATTTGAAGTGTCATCCATACTCCACAGAAGAATACCTCAAAGGAATTTGAAGTGTGGGCGGCTAACTCTATGGGCAAAAGCAGTTTTGCAAAACTTGGAGGGTTGTGAAGTGCAGAAGACGGCTGATTTCACGAAACTCGTCTTATCTTGCGACTAATCTTAGGACTTCAGACATGTCCCCACTTTAAGACTGATCTCAGCTAAGACACATTCTAAGATCGATTTCACTAAACCCAACTTAAGCAAGATGCATCAAACCTAGCAATTCGATAGCTGTTTCATGTTTGTTTTTACCGCTTGACAAAACAGTCGTTGAAAAGAAACGCGCAAAGCCAATTTTCAAATCTGTTTCTACAGCGCTTTTCTTCCTCGAAACTGTTACTCTAAGCCGACACTCGTCTTTAACGTCAATGATTTCCAGACGATATATACAAATTAACGCACGCATTAATGGGATAAGACGACCCCCAGACCGATCTTAACTTAAGACGAGTTCAAACGTTGCTAAGGAAGTTAGGAAGTTGAACGTGTCTTAAATTTGGTGAAATCGATCCTAGAACGAGTCACGAGTTAAGACGAGTTACCCTTCCTAAGACGCTTAGTATTTCGTGAAATCGGCCCCAGGAGGGACAATATATGCTGAAACCTGCAAATGAAAGTGCAGTGACAACTGGCCTCAGTTTATTGTGATTTGATGCTCAGTAGTAGAAAATGCACCAGTACTGAGTCTGTTTCTCCAATATCCGAAGTCTGAAAACCGTGAAACTGGAGCTTGACGCCAAAGCTGACGGCATTTCAAAGGTTTGAAAAATGTACCGGACAGACCTCGCTTGCCTTGGGTTTTCAGTAATCTCACCTTTTCACTGGGATAGTATCGTTTCCAGTCCTTCATCATTTTCACCCATTTTTTCGTCCTCTCTACTTCTTGCTCCCGAAGCTGTAAGAAAAAAAAATGAAGAAAAAAAAAAGTTAAATGCAAAAAATTAAAAATGCAAAAGTATAATTTGTAGCTGATGCTATGCACTGACCCCTCTCTTCATACCAATGCAGTTGCGTAACAATTCAGCGTGCAAGTTGACCTGAAAAACCTGCGAGATTTTACGAGAATACAGCACATCTGGGTACCATGTACAGGCTGAGTCAGAATGATCTGGACCCAAGTTCACCATTTTTTTCGGTGGCAAATAGACAATATTGAGGAAAAAACTGCGTGTTTCATGATTATTACCTTGTCTTCCACGGGAATTTTGATTTTTTTTTTCAAATTAGTGGCTGTGGTGAGGAGTTATGCCATTTTCAGTAAAGTGGCTAATTTTCCAATCTACACACGGAATTGGTTTTGCCTTTTTGTTAAATGTGCCAATAACTTCAAGTGAGTCAGTCACCATGACTAGGTTTTCATTTGTTATTACACTGCTTCACATCAGTACGCGATTTCAGTAAATTTGTTGAACCATGGAATCGTGGACAGAGTGTTTTTTAGTGTGTGTTCCTTACTAGCGCTTTTCTTCAAAATGGTACAAGGGATATACATGAAACTTTCATGTCCAAAATACCAGCCTATAACATATCGCGTTGGCACTTGTTTTGATAATTGCTACATCTTTTTAATGTTTTTTTTAGTTTGGGTCCAGATCATTCTGAATCAACCTGTAAAGGATCTACAACGTGTGTTACGTCCTATTTTTTACATTTATTTTGGGTCCTGACTAGGCCCATCTGATCAAAGGCAACAAATGGGTATTTCAAAAGTAAAGAAAGCATCACAATTTACTACACATTGAAAGAATTGTGAATTGATGACTATTATAAAATTAAAATTGTTGACATCAACTTCCGTTCAATCGATCAGCAGGATAACAAGAACAATTCAAACACGGGAGTCTGTGGCTAGACTAGTCAGTGTTTGATATCGAGATGTTCACTTAAAAAGTGAACGTGGACTGGCGAGACTTACACGCTACCATGTATATCCACATGGTACCAGTGATAACATTCCCTAAAACATCAATGCAATTACAAATTTAAACCACCATTACCAATCATACCGTTTCACATTGAAGATGGCAGATCTAAATACTAGTGATCTCTATTAGGGCCATTCTTTGGTCACTGTGTGACATAAAATTGGGCTCGTCTGACTTTTGAAGCTTCACCCTTGTTAACTGCATCTGACATATAACTTTCACTGATTCATCAGGTTAGTACTTTTTACTCCCTACCTCAGAGTATAGTTTCTACTTTCACAAATTGTGTCAAAATATTAGGAGGGGTCATCAAAGTTTGATCACGTGTGTGACATCAGATGTAAAAATGGTATCCGGCCCATACTGGAAATTCACGCTTTTCTCCAAAGTTCTAAGGACACACCCATACGTGTACTTATTTTGGAGTAAGACTTGTCTTTTGTGATTTTACAGAATGCATAAACCATGTACACCCTCTGCTTTTGTTTTACTAAATTGGGAATTGTTCTGTGGTCACGTGTGTGACATTTTGATCGGTCATGTGTGTGTGACATTTTGTAATACAATTTTTTTAATTATGCACGGAAGGACCAACTTCTGAAACGTCTGAAGATAATCTTTACTTACTAGCAACACTTTTGTGACAATGATCATGTATTACATCACATACAAAAACAATTCCCAAAAAACTTAATTTAGTTTCAATTTCTGAAGAATCACCCAAAACGTCAATGCCATTATCACAACATTTAAACCTTCTACACCCTATGTGTACTTTTCTCAATCACTTCATCGCCAATCATATCAGGTGGGAATATGGCAGATCTCAATCAGCGACTTTTCGAAATGACAACTTCCTAAAACTAGCTTCAGTGTGCAAGCGAACAGTTTCCAGGGAATTGGGCCAATGCGTAGGGCATACAACATGTGCGTGCAAGTTTCTTGCATTCGTCCCACCGGGTGCTGTTGACGTCCATGGTGGAACAGTTGACGTCCGAGCAGGAACAGAAAGTCTTGATGTTCGGCTGATTCACGTAAGGGATGACAGGGTTTGTCTATTTTTAACTTATCATTCCTGTCAGTCCCATGGCAAGAAAATTCCTCTTCAGAACACATATAAACATGTACTTGTCTGAAACAATGCATGTAGACTAATTCGGCGAACAAAATTAGTAGCTATTTTGAGGGAGAACAACGTCCGTGCATATGGTCTTAAACGCAAGGTGCATGCGCATTTTGTAAACCCATTGGTCTGAGGAGCCCAAATTGCATGCGTACTGCCTGAGCGCGAGCCTCATTCCACCTAAAAAATGGCTCCTAATTTTGTTCACCGAATTAGTCTATCATTGCAGATGTAAAGCTGGCCTCAGGTCGACCTGCGATTTGCTTGCGCCATGACGGAACCATCAGCATCAAGCAGAAAAATAATGCTCAGGTCACAAAACTGAGAAATTGTGTGATTTGCTTGAAGCAGGCGGCATCCCGACGCAAAATAATCGTAATCATGCTCATGTCACCCACGACGTGACGATCCACCACGATTCCATATCATCGACTGTCATGTGACTTCCTTAACAATAAGGGTATAAATAATGCTTGGCCGGTTCGGCTTGAGCCATTATCAGTGCGCATTCCCCTGATTCGGTCTTAAATGTAAGTTTGTATTCCCCATTCACAAATACCTTTGAGGCAAAAGTCAACACAAGTCAAAAATTATACATTTCCAACGATTTTGTGTTGAACAATTTTACTTCATTTTTTTTAATCACCCCTCTAGCTATGGTATGGAATATCCTTTTGGGAGTCGTAGTAAACAATCTCTTTATACGGTGATTGACGCGCGGGTGGTGCATACTGCCTGATGATGCGTAGAACGCGGAGCGCCGGTGTAGTGTGCTGATTGGCTACACAATGAAGGACGATCTTGATGTGCGCACGACGTCGTTGTAGAAGTTAAAATGTTTCTACTCTTGTGACTGTTGATTTTGTTGAGCGCCGACTAATGCGGATCATCTTAATATCGTCACAGTTACACTCTGGTCGCAAAACAAAAAATTGGCGACTGAAATGTTCAGAAAACGGTCGTAGCTCAGATGCAGCTTGATCCTGAAAAGTCAGTCGCCGACTGATCTGAGTCGTTGCAAGGTCGACCTGAGAGCAGCTTAACATCCTTCATTTCTGAACACTTTACAGAAACAGAAGCTCAACGTGAAATTCAATTTACAATGTCAGAATCGCCAAAAAGCAAAATTGCAAGTGGACAAAAGCTCATCGGTGCTTACAGAAATGAGATCTAAGACAGTACAGGTACATGCAGATGCAATGAATGTATTTCATTTCTTGATTCATTTGTACTTCTTGATGGCAAATGGTCTCCGTATGCACAAGGGCCCACTCATCTGTTAAAAAGCGAGAGTTGGGGAAGACCACTGGGAGGGACCAGTTTGCATTGCTGACGACGCCGGATGCTCATGCGAACATGCAACTGGATTAATTGGACACACTCAGCATACCAGTACTGTCAGGCACCAAATCCATAAGCAGAGGGCAACTTAAATGTTAACAAGGTTAAGTACGTCAACGTAAATCTACGTGTACATGTACAGTACTTCAATGTGGCCACAATTCCTAGGGAGAACACGACAAGGGAAATGTCAGTTTAACTTGTGGGAGGAAAACCTCCGATGACTCAAATCTTGAGGAAAACCCAGGCTATCACATCTGACAGTCTCTGTCAAAGCTGTGTACAGTGAGAACAGTACGGAGTCCTACAGGTAGCATGAACAGTTCAGGATGAGTCACCAATAAGGAAACCCAAATGGTACCCCCTATTGTCTAAAGAAGTTCTGCGGGTAGCGTGTTCAAGATCTAGGATGTAAAAGCCCAATTAACAAGCTTTATTTCAGTAAAAGAATTGTTCATATCGCTCATGTACTTTTCAAGTTATGGACTTTTAAACACAAAAACAGTTTTATAATTTTGCCCACGGATCACATTAAAGGTAAGTGATATTTCGGCAAAACAAAAACAATTCACATATCAAAAAAACAGAATAGTCTCATAACCATGATAACTGGCACTTGTCACACAAGATATTTTTTTTTTTTTAGAATGACAACATACCAGGCTCAACGATTTCACAGGATGTTTTATACTATTATGTACTAACAGTTTTGTTTTTGAGTGTTGCAAATGATCTTATATGCCTTTAAGAGCCAATATTTGTGTTGCCAAATTTTAAAAATTGGTCACATTTCAATGCCAATTGAGCCAATTTCGCCGACATTAAATATATGTTTTTATATAATTTAGAGATTTCGAAAGTGTGAAAGGCCCTTCAAATCTGGAAGGTAATCCTAAAAAGAATAACTATAATTAATAATAATTTGGGGGCTAATCATCCTTACTCATAGCTGAGAAGCTGAATTGCGAAGGACGCGGCTAGAACGTGGTCGAGGTGAAGGCACGTATTGCACTTTTGGCAGCTGCCATATGAACCATGTGTATGACCATGGAGCACTTATTGTCAGTGCTACGCAGTTCTGTTTCATTTTGTGGATAAAACCTACATGTACTTACACTTGTTTCACTAACTGATGCACCCATGAAAGATAATTGTGTGACTGAAGCCGGTTCTATACCCGCAGAATGCAGCAATTTCTCCTGAACAACTCGACTCATCGTGTCAGAAAAACAGGAACAGTTTAAACTGCCAGTGACACGCAATCCTGTCCAATTCCATTTCGGTTATGGCATGATCAATACGAAAGTTCTAATGTTTGTTTTCAACTATATTCCCTTGGGATGGTTCAGCGATTCCATTTTTTTAGAAAACAACTGGTCAACTTGTGACACATGCAATTATTGGGCGCTCTTAAAAGCGAGAGTTTTCAGTGCGTGAAATGTGCCGCAGAGAAACAGGATATCGGGTTGGTCGACGCAGAGGAATGTGGATTTCTAATGAACTTGA